ATTTCTAGGTAATAATTTTTAAATCGAATACATTAATCTAGAAATATAATTGATAATAGATCGTGTAAATTGATATTTCATGTGATATTTTTAATGATCGCAATGGCGTTGGAATAAGGTGTATAAGATTTTATTAACTTTCTTTCATTAAAATGTATTTTTTAGAAGTTAAATGTAAACAATTTATTTTTAAAGATAGGAAAAAATTACATGCATTAAAAGCTTACATTATAAAGACTAGAGCTACATTAAATTGATGCAAACGTAGCTTTCACGTTAGTTCTTTGATCACGCAGTTGGTAAATTAATTTTAAAGAAATAATAATCTCAATACAGAGTACTAAAAACACCGACCTCAAAGTTCGTGGAATGACATTTATTTGCCACGTTTTATTGAAATCGGTTACCGGAAAGTGCTCAATACCGGATTCATCTCCAAGTTTGTCACTCTTAGAGGTGGAATATTTTCTTCAAATTTAAATAGGATCACTGATCACTCTTTCCAACAAAAAAGAATTATCACAATCGGTTCACAAATACCGGAGTTATCGCATACCGTACATACAAAAAAAACATAGAGTCGAATTGAGAACCTCCTCCTTTTTTAAGTCGGTTAAAAAAGGGCGCACTCCCTAGGTAGTCGTAGCTGAAGTCCTGAAGTTTTTGGCTTTGTAAATTTTCCACCAACTCAGTTAAGGAGCTAACCCCTTGAAACAAAGCCATTGTGTCTACCCTCGTGGCGTTTGATCCTAACGTCTTGGAACGCAGCGAGGAGGTCTGTCAGATGATGTCATTGAGGACTGCATGTCACAAACTGGGACCGCTGCTAAACTAGCAGGAAAGTCAGGAATTATTTAAATAAAACATTTAATAAAAAATCGAAATTTACAAGAAAACCGTTTTCAATAGGTACTTTACATATACCAATGACTTTTTTTATATCAACTCGTGGAGGTGCTGCTGGTGCTGGGGGCATTCTGGGAGATTGTAAATGTGTGTTGCCTGGATAGCAGTAATAGCCTCCGCAGCCTCGCAGCCTCCATTATTTAGTAAATTTAGCTATTCAAACGTTGAAAGTCCAGTTTATAGATATTTAATCGGTTTATTTATTTGGTTTTAACAAATATAATCTTTAAAATATAAACTGTATAAATATAGCAAGTAAACGATTCAAAAAGATAAATAATGGTCTGTACGCTACCGCGGTCGCGCAGACAGTGACGATGGTAAGAAACAAAATCAGAATGCGAAGTAAAATGGAACAATTTTAAATTTAAATATTAGTAGAAGAAGAAAAAACGATACGATACGAATGGAGAGAGGCGATACAAAAAGGTGGGATGACGGTATACGGAGGTCACACCGTCACAAACTGAACTAAATGGAACAAATTTACATATACATTTTTCAAAAGGTTATAATTTCGTTTATAAAAAAAATAATTCTGAAATAAAGATACTGGGTTCCCTGTCGCTCGACCAAGCGAAATGAACCCTATTAGTACGGGAAAAATTTGTATTCGAGTGAGGTAGTATCGATCCTAGTAGTAAGAAAAGACTGGATTTAATAAAAAGAACTTTAGTTATTTATTTTTTATATCATTACAGAGCAAATAGCATTTTGAATCTACTTATACAATAAATGATACAGAATTGAATTTAAGTCTGAGTTAACATAGTCGGTCAGTTGTTCACGCATTTCATTGACTTAATAAAAAGTCAATGACGCATTTCCAATTTATACAGTATTTTAAAGAATAAATCCAACCTAATGCGACTTTTTCCCATTATATTCAATATTTAAAATCTCTTTCCCTTTAACCTCTAATTATTTCTTACTTCTTCTAGCCTTATAAGTCCTGAAATAGAAATTAAGAAATAGAAAGAAGAACGATCCAATGCTGAACACGCAGAAGTAATGGAAAAACGCTGGCAGCGGACACGGTGTTAGCTTCTGTTGGTAGTAAAGGTCTGATATAACGAGGATGAATTGGATCTGAAAAGAAACGTTATAAGTTCATAACGGGTAGTATAAATAGCAGTAAAAGCTATACAGATAGCGTACAAAGAAAGATACAGAGTGCTACACTAACAAGATCAACCCCTGAAGGTGAAACCGCATGTGCTGCGTTCGACTAGATCGAAATTGTAAAATAATAGTTGGAATAAGTCGGAATTTAGTCCTAGCTATCTGTACAAACAGCCTGCAGTCGTTATAATTAATCCGACTGCGATGTAACCTCGACCTCTTTCATCGTCATCCCACCTTTTCATCACCCTTTTCTCTGGTTCTTGGCCACTTTTTGAAATTTTGAATCGTTCTCTAATTATTTTTCTTCGTCATTCTTACGTTGCATCGTTCCTTCGCCAGTCCTCATAAAATTCTCGAAGATGAAATACGTGTGTTTCAATCATGTAAACCTATATACGACTTACCTACTTACTACATACGAATACAGGCTCTTTTGGGGTACGTGTATTTATATTCATCCATAAGCACATGCGTATGTAATTTAAGTTAAGTCTTTTTTGTTACTGTTTCCCCTTCTCCTTTCCTTACCTTTTCTTTCTACCTCTAGAATAAAAACCTTGCAATAAAGTTATATGGACCGAACCTTCTCTTGTTTCGCTCAGGCTAGGCTACAAGCTAAATGGGTCACTGTCATGGATATTTGTCATCCAAATATGCGTAGGCTGTATAACAAACCCTTATCATCATCTAATATCATCTGTCTCAGTATCTCACTTTATAACTTGGAAAGCCATCATTAATTATGAATCGCTAACGCTCGGGCACCTACACCATACTACAGCTAGGTCGTTCCCCATGATACGACCCAAATTACATTGTGTCTTCAGTAATAATCTGCACATAACAGAACGAAAAATAACCGTCGACTATTTGTACATCTTTCAAGTTCACTTGCAGTTGCACCGAGTATATTTAAACAACTTTCAAATTGCAGTTGAACAGCTGTTATGCAGTTGCATTGCCGTCGAGGTACAGCCTGCCTGAGTACATCCTTAAACGTTGCAAGGAGAGTACGTATATAAGGCATATTACATAAAGTATCGACATTACTTGATTGTTAGCGCTCTGTATTCAAACTCACGAGAAATAAAACTGAATTTATACAGGGTTATATAAAATACTAAACCTCGCAGAACTGTATTACTAACATTAGCAGCAGTAGAGCTCTTTGTGAAAGAGTTCATCCAGGGAAGTAATGTCAGCATTACTGCGTTCCGGTTTTAAAGGGTAAGGGTGCTGGTGAAATTATTGACACAAGGGACTTGTCAACTTATGTCTCAGGTTGACGGGCGCAGTGGCAGTGCCCTTCAGATCTTTGCGATATAAAGCTCTGAGTTGCACTGCAACTGTTATGGGCAGGCGCGTAACTTACCAACAGGCGCACGACTCGTTAGTCCCGTCACATGATATTATAAAAAAAAATCATAAGAAACAACTTATGCTGCATAATTTTTTTACAAATTAGATAACATTATATAAAACAGATACAAAAGTTGGCGAAATATTACATGCACCGATTCGTCTTATCGCTTCATCTTTACAATACAATAGGATAAAAGAGTGTGAGGTAACGCACGTGCCGTCTGTATAGTGCAAACAACTAGTTTAAACACTTTTACGTATTGGCAATTATTATCCGGTGGCGCAGTCAAGGTCATCAGCGGCCAACTGCAAAGTGTCCTTAAAAAACGCACTGGCACTTAATTCTAAGCTTGATAATCTTCAGGGCGCCTGTACACCCTAAGAAATTCGACGTATCTGCTACAGAATAGATGAGAATGGTCTTGTACACGACAAGAACTTGGTCGGATCTAGCTACGAAAACATGTCGAGTTTGTTGCAGACGAGAAAATGAGGAGTATGTACACGATACGAATGCTTTCGGACAAACATGTGTAGGGTGAAATGTGTTCGTGCATTACGAATCTACCAGGTAGCTGTCGTTTTACTACCGACTGTGGGAAGAAATATGTTGCTGACTACCAATCAACACCCGTCCACGCGCAAAACCTTCGTTTACTGATAATGCACCTCACTCCATCAACATAGAAAAGTGGCAGAGCGCATCGTGTCAGAGGCAGTGTATAGAAACGACACAATTTCTTGCATAGACCTGGCGACACATTTTCTTAGCGTGGACACGCGGCCTTATGCAAAAGTAAATTTGTTGAATTGGTAAGAATCGTCAGCCGGTATTTTACTACTAATTTGCTCAAATTGTAAATTATTACACGTATGAATACGTGACGTGATTCGTCGAAGGAGAGGTCGAAAATTTACAGAACTCTTCAAATATAAGTTTCGAGCCCATTATACTCTAGGGTCTAAATCTGTCTTTAGAGAAATAAGAATAAGAAAAATAATATGTATCATAATCAGATACTTGGTGCCACGGCATATAATTCCTTATTACATACCAGTGCCTGTGTCATGAGTATACTATAGAGGCAATGTCTGCTAAAACTCGCCTCGTGTAAACGCTCCAACAGTTGCGTGTATAATTTCATATTCAGAAACACTTATAGTTAATGTTAAAATGTTCACATTAATTGGCATAATATATACAATTCTAAAAACCTACCAATTGAACTTTGGTCAAATGTTTTTTCCACCATACAAACTTCTGATATTCCGGTCCCAACGAAGATATGCCATAATACGCATACATTAACACATGGACAAAGCTATTTAATAACCCAACAACAACAAAATGGTCAGTGGGATGATACATCAAGTGTAACCACGTCCATGAAACCATAGCTGTGTGGTGGTAGAGGTGGAGGAAGGTTATCTGATTGTCCTTTTTGCGGAGAACGAAGAATACTGTATCCAGTAGATCCAGGTGTTTGGCGTAGAAATATGGATAGATTTCGTTTATTACCTGAAATAAAAAACCAAATTGTGTTTTTATGACAATTTCAAATTGTGTAATTTTCATTTAACAACCGTTCACATATACTGTCATACTTCATACTTTTTTGTTAGCGGAAAATGTCAGTGGGAGGATTTTTGGGACTATTATAGGTAAAAGCAACAATAGGTTTCGTAAGTAATGAAAATTTTTATACTACTTAACTCTACTTACTGACAAAGTATAATGATAATACTTACGCCTTGTAGATCTTCTCCTTTAGGACATCTCGTAGTTATTACTCCGTTTCTAAGCATATACCTTGTATACTGTCAAAAAACAACATTTATTCATTAGAGCAGAAATAAGACTGGTAAATGAAACAAAGACATTGCTGTATTTAGACAATAACAAAGTGTTACAGAATACTATCTACGATACTGAACTACGCATGCAGTAAACAGTGCAAGCGCTAATTTTTAACTGGTATCAAAAAAGGGTTTCAATTCGACTGTATTTTTTGTGTGTAAGTTACGCGATTTTGATGATTATTCTTTGTTGGAAAGAGAGTACCTCAATATTTTAGTCCCATTTAAATTTGAAGAAAGTATTCTACCTCTAAAGGTGCGTCTACGCTAAACGAGCCGAGCACAAGCGGAACCGCTCTGCTCCTCGTCGTTCGCGGCGTCAAGTGTGGACCTACAATGAGCCTCTAACGATCACTGTCCTCGAACGTAGCTTTCCGCAGTATGCACGCCACTCGTGGCATACATGGACGATTTAGCTAATGCAGCTGCAGCGATTATTATAGTAAGCAGTAAAAAAGCTAGAGGGCCAAGACGATTGGATTATTTTGATACAATTCATTAATTGCAAACAAACTTCTTCTGACCACGTGTCCATGATGTCGGCTCGAGGGAACCGTCTATCACTAAGCACGTCCACAAGCGCACTGAGTTTGTCAAAAAACCGACAATTGGCGGAGCGTACTTGAGCACGAGCCGAACGATCGGCGCGCGCTCTTTCGAAGCTCGTAGGCCACTCCACACTACACGAATTCGTGCTCGACTAGTGTCGGCTCGTGCTCGGCTCGTAAGCGTAGTCGCACCTTAAGGGTCGCAAACTAGGGGACGAATCCGGTTTCATGCTTCCGGTAACCGATTTCAATAAAATTTCGATATTCCTTAACAATATTACGTTAAAAGAAGATGGCTGCTTTATTTAAGATAAAGTTTCGCTTGCTCTGCTTGTCGCGGCATACTTAGTTAAAAATCTATATAAAAATCTGTATAAAGGCAGCGGCATCGATACTTGTTGGTGTTAGTAACTAGGTACGTCTAACAGCTTAATTGCTACCGCCACTGTACAAGGCGTAGTGATTTCGACAAACTTATTTCTTTTAAGTAGAAGAAAAGTTACACACTCAAAGACAACGTAAAATCCTTTTAGAGTTCATTGAGATTGTTAAACACGGTTGTTGCTGATGCAGGTATTTTACACATCACCGGATGATTTTATGTACATATTCAAAAAAAACGCGAAACATGTACATGCTTACTGAATCTATCTACATGAAAAAGCTTTCCATTTTCTTTGGTATTGTAATAAAATGTTATTTTTATGATTTTGTGACATTCATTAACAAAAAAATTTATCTACATGGAAACGATCAGTCTGCCTTAATCGTTCTGAAATTTTATCAAAGTTATATTTTAAAAAACAATCGAGCTGCTTTTTCGGCTTACAGTCTGTTTCTGGAAGATTTGTAAATTACTCCAGCGTGCCTTTTAGGTCCTGTGGCTCGAACATCCGCAATGAATATCAGCTTCGATTAATGCGGATGCGAATATTTTAATTTAGGCTTATTATCCGCGGATGTGGATGCTGATATCCGCGGATGCGGATGCTGATATCTACGGATGCAGACGCTGATATCTGCATCAACCCAGGTTCTTAGCTATGTTAGATGAATATCTGGTCAGCTGTTTAAAGTACATTAGCTCTTTTCTCAGTTGATCTAGGGATCTCCGCCGTAGAATGTATGTTTATTTCATTTTTACTTGTCCGATCGACTTCAAATTTGGTATCTATGGACATTCAATGACGCTGATGCTGCAACCAGGGCAGTTTGCTGACACTCAACTTCTAAACGACTTTTTTTTATAACATCAAGTGACGGTACGAACAACAACATTTGGAAACAGTAATAAACGCGTTTACATACGCGTTTATTATAGTATATACAAGACGAACAAGTCGTGCGCCTGATGGTAAGCAACACGCCTGTCCATAACAGTTACAGTGCTTTAAACTCACTCAGAGCACTCAGAGCACTCAGAGCTTTAAACTTCAAAGGTCAGAGGGGCACTACCACTGCGCCCGTCACCCTGAGACATAAGTTGACAAGTCCCATGTGCCTGTAATTTCACTAGCACCCTTACCCTTCAAAACCGGCACACAATAATCATGACATTACTGCTTGGCGGCAGAAATAGGTTAAATTAATTTCGACGAATTGTTAGCTTATATATAGTGACTTCATAGTGCACTGTTATTGTACTCGGACTTTCAGAAGTGCACTGTTATCGGGGCTCTTTTAATATTAACTGAATATTATTTTATTGTAACTCTGGCAGTATGTCGAGTTCTTAGGTTTTCGCGATTGTTGCACATAGGAAATGAAACTATTTTTCCGGATTTAAATCGCGTATATTTGTTTTTTCAAACCAACGTCGGTTTGTTTGAAAAAACAAATATACGCGATTTAAATCCGGAAAAATAGTTTCATTTCCTATGTGGCAAAATGGCTAATAATCTTCTGGCGAAAAAAACGCCTAATAAAATTCAAACAGTAATATCACATACTCACAAGAAAGACAGCGTATAAAGAAAACGCGACTTGAAATCCGTTGTAGACTTGTAATACTCTATTTAATTTGTATGGTTCTCTGTTCTTCATGTAAAGAGGCAGAATCTTGAAAACTACTATAAGGTACGTCGCTAATACAAGCGCAAGCCCTGAGAGAGTTTCGCTGAGAGTCCATGTGGATATCGTGTCTGAAACTAGAATGTTAAGTGATTAATTATTGAGTCCCATTTGGTACGGTCAACGATCTCAGTAGCGCAACGGTTTATACAGTGGGCGCTGGATGATGAGGTCCTGGGTTCGAGTCCCGGTAGAACCAATTTAGGAAATGAACTTTTCTTAATTGGTTCTAGTCTGGGTATTGTGGGAAGCGCCCCAGAGTAAAATCCGTTCACAGCATCGTACTCATATTACAGGGCGTTTCTTAACAATCAGCACAATATTATTAAAAAAAATTACAAATTTATTTTTTATTAAAAAAAAGCACCAAGTTTAAACTTTGTTTATATGTGCATACAAACGGAACTTTAAAAAAAAGTTAACAATCGGTTACCAAAAAGTACGCGAAACCGAATCAATCCCCTAGTTTGCCACCCTTGCAGGTAGAATATCTTCTTCAAATTTAAATGGGACCAATACTGTAGTACCCTCTGTCCAAGAAAAAAAGAATCATCAAAATCGGTTTTCAAATGCCTACACAACATACAAACAAACAAAAATACAGCCGAATTGAGAATCTTCTCCTTGAAATCGGCTAATAAAGAGTTGTCTGATGATGCAAAATCAGAGGTTTGGTCAGAATCACCTTCCTCATCATTTGTCCGAAAGAAAGTCTGTCTAATTTCAAATTTCTGTCGGTCTAAGCAGTCGACTTAGTGGCCAGTCATTCTGTGTACTGGTAATCCAAGGACACAACATGTTATTTCAATAAACAAATTTTATTACGGTCTTGCATTTTATTTCTATAATACTTATTTAGGTTGTAGCCTAGCCTTTAAGAAATGAGAATGCAGAAGGCTCGATCCACAAGATTTATTGTAAGAATTGATAAAAAAAGGTAAAAAAAGGCCGTAACAAATAACAAAATGACATAAATAAGGTACAGTTATTATAAAACACTTCGTTTAAAACTAAAGAACACAATACTCAATACTCACCACAAAAGTGCCTATATATCTAACTATATAATTTCATTTTAACATGTTAACGACGTGAAGTTTTAGAATAAAGAAATTCAGGTGATTTGTGAGTTATGAGCACGTGCCCCTGTTTCAATAATTTGATAGGAGTGACGATGAAACGAAGAAACGTAAGAATAGTGAAGAAAGGGGATTTGAAAACGATTCAAAATTTTAAAAATAAGACGTGGCCAGCTGTATTGGACAGTGGGTTAAAACCCAATCAGCCTGCCCGAACTTTACCAGACTTTTACCCGAAATGGCGGGTTTTAATCCAGTCCTGTCCGAAATCGTGGGCAGAAACGGCGAATACGGAATAATACCATAGTTATTACAAATTTCGATGTAAAAGATATAGACAAAAAAGAGGTCACTGCACACAACATACTCACCTTGCAATGCTGTAGATGCTCTACTACTAAGGATACTAATATCATTAAATTAGAACAAAACTCGATTTACAATAAAAATATAGTTTAAATAGTTTTACCCTTGATTTTGGGCATTAATGGGTTTTAACCGGGCATTAACAAAGTGCTGGGACAAAACCCAGGCACTTCCTTATCTCTGGTGGCCAGGTACCAGAAAGGAGAATGATAAAAAGGTGGGATGACGATGAAGAAGGCTAGCATCGTTACAAGACATCTATGTAAATTCGTTATACATACCCATTACGTTATTTTTTCGAATATCTTCAACAGTTTACTGTTATCTTGCACAATTTATATAATCGCAGGAGAAAACATCCACAGATGCACAACGAAAAATTTAGAAATCAATTTTAATGAAAACGCATGTCCAATCATTACAAACATAAAAGACAAAATGACTTGGTAAACAAATTTTATAATGATTTATTGTCACACTGTCTTGTCTTTGTATTCAAATGTTATTCCGATTACAAATCATTTGCATTAAAAATTACCTAAGAATAATATGTGAAGTATTTTTGTTTGTTTGAAACACTTACTACAATTTTATAAATGTATTTCATCTTGTTCTTTACTCACGTCAGCATTATTAGTTTAGAAAACGTAGACATATAGTAAACAATAAACAATCATTGCAAAAAAGGAAGCTTTATAATTATATTCGACAACGTTACGCGTAACTTAACTATGTAAGTACAATGATTAAAAAATTTGCACATTGTTGGCTTCTTGATTGTAAAATATTTATATAGTACATAATATAAACAGATTAGAACATAATAAGAGAGTTGCCAATAATAAACGTCGGTTGTTCACTCAGTTTTAGGGTCCACTGAAAATCAGCGTCACAGCCTTTTCTCGGTGTCCACATGACATCTACTTAGAACACAATAAATATAAATAATAATAAAAAAAGTCAACACCTTTTGCTTTATGGTCATTTCAGTACCGATTACTAAGATTTTATTTTAAATTAATTTTTTTGTTATTCTATTTTATTTTTGTTCTAATTTAGCTTTATCTTTTTTTTTAATTTCTTACTCTGTATTTTTGTGTGGTGGCATGTTGTAATAAATGGTTTCTATTCTATTCTATTTCTATTCCACTTAATATAAAAATTACTAAATGACGTACTTTGCTATAGATTAGTTCTGAACGAAGTTAAATAAAATAAGTAGTTTATATTTAGATTGACCTCATGTCAATGAAAGTAAAGTAAACGTATTTATAGTGCATAATGTCTTTATTTATTACGCATATAAGAACTCACAATCGCTTAGTAACCGACGAATATTGGTATTTCACTTGAGCGCCTGAACAATATTGATTACGTTATTTTCTATTCAAACCAAGTGCCAAGTTTGCTATATTATAAAAACAAGGCGTTTTTTTAATCTTCCCTTATAATCTGTTTACCGTACTTTGGGTGGTTTAGTCACAAAAAATAGCACAGTTATAAATAAATTCGTAACTAATTCATGGCATTTTTCTTATGTCTGGTAGATAACCGCACTTATAACGGCTTGTAATTTAATGGATACCTTACGAAGACAATAATTAATATTGTAATTTTTATAAATACAAATATACGTAGGTAAAAACAGTATTTTATCCCTCAAAACTAATTTACAGAATAAAAACACAGCTGTGTTGGCAGCTAATTTCTATTATTGAGCCAAAATAATCGGACATGTACCAAATGTTCGTAACATATAGGTACGAGTTCTTTCCAAAATCTGACCACACTCTACCTAAATAACATTCAAGTTTTATTATAATAAATTATTTATATATTAAATTAATTATAGTTTTAATCAAAGCGCTGTTGTAAAGTTTAGTCATTGTTTTCACTCATACAGGTTTCACCTTTTTGGTTATCGCGACTGCCGCTAGAGGCCGCGACTTGCTTATTCTGGAAATTATCACATTATATTAAAATTTAACATCTAATAATGCAATAGCAATAGTTACTAGTGAAAGTAACATTCAATTATAATTATTTTATTTGTCAATCATCAAACACTGAAAATATGTATTGCGATTTTAAGCAGCGATGCAAACGAGCGATTGCATCGCTACACTTGGGATTTATCACAGACCACATGTGGGATTTATCTATAATGATAAGCATCATTGCATGGATGCAATCGCGCGTTTGTATTGAAGCAGTCCCGCGTTTGCATCGACGCAATCGTCTATAAATCGCAAGTGTAGCCTATAAGTCGGCAAGTATAATCAATCGTCTAAATTTTGTGGTTACCAATTACGCTGCTAGATGTCACTGCTGGTCAAAAATAGTAGCAATGTAAATTCCGCAAATCTATTTGTGTGTTTTTCAGTTGGTTCGGACACCTCGAAAGGACGCCAGCTTAAGGGGCGGTGAAAAGGATTAACATGGAAGGTGAACATGGAACGTTTTAGTGGTCGACGACTGGTCGGTCGGAAGTGGAAAAAGACCTCCGTGCCCTGCACGCTGAGAACTGGAACGAGATCGCACAAGTTAGATCGCCGACACCCACTTCGGCAGGCTTATTACCGATCTTTAGCGACCAGTCGTTTTAGCAATAGTTGCACGATTATCGCTGTCAAAACATAAATTCGTATTACGGAACGAACAATTGCGACCAGTCGACTACAGCGCCTCCCGCGAGCAACTAATAAACTAAAACTGCATGAAAATGCTTTGACAGAAAGCGACCGGTTGCTTTTTCGTATTACCGAACCGTAATACCAACTTAGCAATCGCAACTGGTAGCAATCGCGTTGCTATTGTACAATTAACAACCGGTTGCTAAAGTTCGGTAATAAGCCTGCCGGACGCTAAGCCAGCGGAGTGTTTTTCAGCGGTCTAGCTCTTTAGATACATTTGAACGGATTTGTATCAATCCCTTTTTCACTGACCTCTACTAGTGACAGTTTTCACATGCAAACGCGTAAAAATTTGATATAGATAAGGTAGAGCTCCTTGTGAAAGAGATGGTCCAGAGAAGAACTGTCATCTTACCAATTCTATCGCAGAGCAGTAATGTGAGCATTACCGCGTTCCGGTTTTGAAGAGTAAGGGTGGTGATGAAATTACAGGCACACGGGACTTGTCAATTTATGTCTGAGCGTGACGGGCGCAGTAGTACTGCCTCTCAGATCTTTGCGATTTAAAGCTCTGGGTGGCAGTGCGACTGTTATGGATAGACGTGTCGCTTAGCACCAGGCGCACGATTTGTTCGTTCCGTTACTAGATATTACAAAAGAAAACAAAAAATATTCGTGAACAAAATGTTACTTTTTCTTACGACTTTTCAAAATCCAAGACAATTTCCATCCATTTCATAGGTATTATAGTACGAAATATGTATTTATCTAAGTATAGAAATAGTTTTAATAATTTAATGTTTTGATACTGTTTTTTTTTTATTCATAATTTTTGTTTTGTTGATTATTGTCTCCTGTAGATATATAGATAATCACTTTATTGCTCATACATACAAGAAAAAGAAGAGTACATAAACAACTTAAAACTAATGTGGTCAAAGGCGGTCTTGTCGCTAAAAGCGATCTCTTCCAGATGATCTTTGAGGTAGAGGAAAGCTAATCGGAGCGGAAGACGTAGTGTGCCTATTTTGCAAATAAAAGAAATAAAAATGAATACAAAACAAATAAATAAAATAAGAACACACAGTAATTTATTAAATATTTAATAAATTACGATATATTATACCTAAATCAATATATAAATATACTTAAATAAACTTATACTTATATACACGTTGCAGTATAGGACCGTGTTAGAAGATATTTACTCAATCCGTTTTTGAAAATAGGTAGCGACTTAGAATGTCGGATTTCAAATGGGAGATCGTTCCACAATTTTGCAGCCTTAATCGTAATGGAATCTTTGTAATACTCAGAGCGAGTGAAAGGAGGCTTCAGTAGGTTAGCCATTTTTGACCTTAGTTCACGGTTGTGATCATCCCCGAGGAACGAAAACGATCCTTAAGGTATGGCGGTGTACGAGGGTTTACGTTCGCCTTCGCCTAAATTGTCTCCTGTAGGTAGAAATTTCTGTTAGAAATAAGCAGTAACTTTTGTTTGTGTTTTTCTTTTGTATTGAATGTGTTTTTATTTTTTTTCTGTACAATAAATAATTAAATAAATAGATTGCTAGGGGCGTTGTACAATTTGCCATACTTAATTATCAAATATTTTACACGTTTGATAGCGACGAGTGTCACTGTAACGCTTGACAGTGGCAATGGTATTTTTAAGGATATCTTCAATCTGCATTTTTGCTCTATAAATTTTCAAAATATTTACACCTTACTCTATTTCATAAATATTACACATATTGAATCTGAGAAAGTTAAACAATAACTAAGTATGTCTACAAAAAACTCTTAGTTCTAAAGGCATTAGCCTAGTTTACCATTTTGTTCACACTAAACATACGTAGTACATAATGTGCAAAATGTTCTTGGAAAAGGGGTTTTATCTTAAGTTGAATAAGATACAATTTTATGGGTAATACACGAGTGAGAAATATGCAACATTGTTAAAGATACGACACCGTTTGTTGTCATGATATTTACTGTAAAAAAATAAAATGTTCTCTCCAGACTGTTTCGCAGTTTGCGTTGTATGTTATTAAAATTATACATCAATTTATGAAGTTACGATAGTTAAAATAGAAATTATTATAGTAGATTATATAATTTAATAGATTAAAGATTATAATAGATTAAAATAGAACTAAATTTTATTTCTAATTAGGGATATTATTTTAACAATATTTTTATAATAAATTTTATATAAAAAAATAATAAATTTTTATAAAAATCTCAAATTTGATGAACTCATTGGCCCAACGTCAACGGTTTTGCAATACAGGTCCGAGTTTGAATCCCGGTAGGACAAATTTGGGACATTGTAAATTCGTTTTAAATTTGAAAACCTTGTAACTGCGTTTCTGTGGAAATTCATATTTTACTCTTCACGCACAATATCGAGCAATTAAAGCTTAAAATACAGTTTGTAAATCTTCTTTTAGTTATAAAATATAATGATTAATAAATTATCTTTTTTTTTATACGTATAATATATACCAAGATTTATTTATATAAATCTTGGTATATACTATACGTATAAATAAAATATCAATATGATTCATCCCGTCAATTATGTAAACACTACATTTGTTTAAACTATTTTCAATGTAATTTTCATTTAATAAATTATATAGCATAATTTAAATAGCAGTAACTT